CCTGGGAGGAACTTCGCGTTCAAATTCCTAAGTGTGAAGATTGAGAAGTGAGTTGCGCTCGTTTTGGACTGCTAACACGATTAGCTACCCGATGAAGAGCGGACGTGTCGGCCGATGTTGTTAGTCGGAAGAGTCGAGGTGAGCTATCTATTTAATGTCTCGGCAGAGGCCGCTGACTTAGGGAGAATCGCCATGAGAGTTCTTTTGAGATTTCACATATCGTTAGTTCTATGGCGTATTGCGTTTTGTTGTTTTAGGAAGTTGGTGGACTTGGAACTCGAACTTGCACCTTGCTATATTTTAGACTTTTTGAAACTTTTGAGTTTGTGAAATGCGTGAAATATATGTTGTTTTGTTGACCCCAAAATTTTTGAAATTTGGTAAAAAACATTCCTTTTTGGTAGCCTTGAATTGTAATTTCTTGTGGAAACCTGGACCAAACCCCGACCCTGGCTGGGTGTAGCCACGCGAAGTGGTGGCCGAGTACGCATGACCATGCTGAGAGACGTGAGGCTAGCGGCAGCCAACCGTCGACTCGCACGCGAACTGCAGCCGCCATTAGCGAATGCACAAACTCCCCAGGCCAGCGTGTGCGGCCAAGCCTCGACCTTACAGCTGGTCTCCGAGTAGGTGGGTACGCACGCGTCCCAGCGCCCCGCGTATGCAGCGCCAGCGAGCGTGCCGCCTCTTGGGTGACAGTACCCTAACCCCGAACCTTCGATTCATTTCTTTGATCGATCAGTTTTTGCTGAGATATTTATGTTACCTCGAACCTTGAACCGAGAGCTCCAAGTTCCACTAAAATGTGTATAAATCCTTAATCGATGATTTCTGATTAAGGAGTGTAGTCGATGAGTCCCTATGCTTTACTTGAGAGTTTCTCGAGTTGGCAAATTAGGAATGTCGTGTTGCTATTGGTTAAGCCTTATCTTTGTGCATAAGGGTTGCGTTCGACTCGTGGAGTCGATATCATGAGAGTATGAGCACCTTGGATCGTATGTATTATGAGCATGATGGTGTCGTACTGTATGTATGTGGTACCGTGTTGTAGTCTTTGATGGACACGTACGGTCCATGATGAAATCGTGAGCAAGTTGTCAGTGTGACTCGGACTCGAGACTGAAACTTGGCGTCACGTGTCCACCTTGATGGTGAGGTAGTCAGAGTATGCTGACAATACACCGAACGACCTGTTGAGGTCTAGTGTGCTGTTAGGTGCGAAGCAAGTCGTTGATACTCATGAGTATAGGCTAAACCGAGCTGGGTCCCTTGCAAGAAGATGTACGCCTGATCTCGGGCAGGAATGATCACCCTCCCAAGTAAGACGGTAAACATATGAGCATAGGGCGAGTCGGATTGGTTCCTGTATGTGAATACATGCCTTTCGAGTGTTAGGCGATAGGACTCATGGGAACGAAATCGAGTTCCGGAGAGTGATGCTCGGACCTCGTGATTGGAAATTCCTGTGCGAGTCTATCGTTTCCTTTTTTATGTGTGTTCTTTCGCATTTCCGAGGACGGAAATATTTTAAGGAGGATAGATTGTATCGCCCCGTTCGATTTATAGAATTTCTCAGAAAATTCTATTTATCAAATACTATTTATGAGGTTATATTTGTTTTATTAGTCGCGATGTCGACTTAAATATAAGGTTGGAATATTCGACCATTTTATTGAAAAATGTTCGTCGTTCGGCGATTTCGGTTTAATCGCGTGAGACGGATTTAGCCCGTTGAATTGTAAAATATTTGGGAAATTATTTATTATTATTATTATTATTATTATTTGTCTTTATTTTTTGTTATTATTATTATTTATTGAATGCTATAAATTATTAATTGTCTAATATGATTTATTCGTCAAATTGCTTAATTATCTAAATATTAATTAATTGCCTAATTGTCTAAGTCTTATTAATTAATTAAAATGTGTATTTGTATTTTTACTAATATTATTATTATTTTAAAATTTAACCATGTGTATTATAAATATATATTATATCCGGTTATTTATTTATTGTGCGATTAAATTTTCGAGTCGATCCGATTTAATTAATCGAGCCCGAGTAAAAACCGTATTGAAGCTACGTCTAGTCGGGCCCGAGAGCCGAATCATTTCATTGAACCTTCCCCGACCGCGAACCCGGTCCGCCTGACCCGCCTAATGTGTATTAGTGAGTGTTTTGGGCATCAAGACTTTGTACCCTAGCCCTTATATTTTTTTTCTCGTTCGTTTTTCCTCAGAGAACAATATCGCCCGCAGCCTCTTTCTCTTTTTCTTTCGAACGCAAGTTTTGAACAGAGTAGAGATTTTCCTCAAATCCTTCGCTCAAATCTGATCCCAACCATCATCATCATCCTGTCATCTTTCCCCGATCGCGATCCTCTCATCACCATCGTTGGCATCTCCTCGTCGTTCTCCCATCATCATCATCCTCCCGTCGCCACCATCACCAACGCCCAGCAACTCGCGCGACCAACCTCTGGCGACCCCTGTTTCAGTTTTTCCGGCGAGTTCGAGCCGTCCCACGAGCCCCGGCGACGAGATCTCCCCCCTGACCGTGATCCTTCCGACGACCTCCTCATCGCCGCACTGCGAACAGAGGCTCCGCCGCGCCACGACACCATCACAGCAACCCCGCCGCGCTATGAGCAGCCTTCCTGAGCGTTGTTCGTGATTTTTCCGGCGACCCCTCCGTCCATTCAGCATCTCGACGGGCGCCCTCCATCGTGAACCCTTCATCGATCGCGACCAGACGCCGCGACCAGCCCTTCCGGCAAGCTCAGACGACCCCACTACCAGCACTCCCTGGCGAGTTCATCCTCCGTCGCTGTCCGCGAGCTCCATCGCCGTCAGCCCCGTGGCCGCATTCTTGCTGTTCGCGTGACTTAGCTGTTGTCCCGAGGTCCGAGCCCGCAAGCAATCGACCTCAATACCCGTGAGTCACGCCCGCAGCCGAGCGCCGTTCCGACAGCCCCGTTCGACCCTTCGTTTCCGTTTTTGATCGAATCCCGAGAACGGTACAAGGCTCGACCCGTCTCTATTAATTATATGTATTATTTTATGTGTTCGATTATGTGAAATGGGTGTTGAACATGCTTCGTGAATTTAAATTCATGCCTTAGATGAGTATGTGTGAGAGTTTTATGATTGAATTGCAAATTGGATATCAAAGTGATTGCCGTCACTTTGAATTATTGTCGAACTTAATCTAACGTGGTATATTTGGTGGAAATCCTGGAGTTATAGGTACTTGGATTTGTCCTTGATTTATTGGTTTTGGTCTGAGGTTGTTTCGAGTTGTATATAGGGAGTTATGATTTTTCCAAACCAAGCATACTGCTAAACCATAATAAATTCACCATAAATAGAATTGTTGTCCGTTTGCGCTAAAGTTTTGATATGTTGTGCCTCTGAGTATGTGGAATGTGTGTGCCAAGCCCCTAAATTTATCGTTGAGGTTTTGGTGTTCAAATGCTTAAATCGGTTTTCGGGCAGAAACTTGTAAAATTTATTAAGAATCGTACACTTGGTTTTTTGATCTGACACTTGGAGGACATGTTATTTTGTGATGTTTTATGTTGTGTAAAAATTTCAGACTGAAATTCGAAGTGTAGCTATGCGAACTATTGAATGCTGATTTTGGCGCTGTTTTTGCTTAAATTATTTAAAAATGCTCCCGGATGAATTTAGGGCTGAAACTTGGTGAGTTTATGTGTTTTTGTATTCTTTATAATGTGGTAAGGTTTCAGGTTGATTGGCTGAGCCTAACTTATAATTCTGAATTTGGTTTATTTTGGAGTCTTAATGCTCGGTTATCTATTGTTTAGGTTATGATTGGTTTTTATTAATGTTGGCATGATTTATGAGTATTACCTGAGGTATTTGAGTTGTGTCCAAGTTTTGTAGTAACTCCATAGTACTTAACTCGATCAAGGAAATCCACGAGTCACTTAGTCGATATGATTTCGGCTAAGTATATGTGCCTTGTGTGTTGTTTTTGTATTGGACAGTCAGTGATAGGTTATTATAAATTTCTGTAGGTCCTTCAAGCTGAACTTGTGCCATAATTCCTTCAACTCTGTGTTTGGCTATACCTCTTGCTATATCCAGGTGGGTTTTATTTGAAACTGCTATGCCTTAATTAATTGTTATTGTTTTGGTATGATCCCATGCATGTGGTGAACTTTGGCGAGTTGCAGGTCGGGAGAGACCTTACCCATGAGGAGGTACTGGTGGCCATTTTTAATCGAAAGGTCCATCAGTTACGGAATCGGGCAGTGGATCTCATCAAAATGCAATGGAGCCGCCATAGCGAGGGAGAGGCGACTTGGGACAGTGAGGCTGATATTCGGAGGAAGTATCCGAACTTTATGTTCTGAGTTTCTCTCTTGTACCTTGTATTTTGGTTGTACTTTTTGTTGCCCTTCTCTTTGTAATTTCCAAGGACAGAAATCTTTTAAGGAGGGTAAATATATTCCATTAATTGCTCGACATATCTCGTCTAATCTTATTATAATTAATTAGATGGCCTCATCAAATTAATCTAATAAGTCGTATAATTTTATTATTTGTTCATCGCCAATCATTTAATCCTTCGAAATCCTTCTTGAATCGTGTTGTACCCTTTTGAGACGTTTTCCAAACGAGCCTTGAGTTGATACTCGGCCAATTTATTTGAAACAAATTTCGATCATTTCGGATAAATTAATCTGGCCCACTTTTTGTGCTAAGTTTCTCGGCCCAAAGTGAATTATTTTTCAGCCCAAATTAATTTATTTGCTGGCCCATTTCAGTTGTGTATTTTTGGCCCACCTTTTTGGAGTGTTTTATTTTGAAATAAGTATCCTCTGCACGAGCCCAACTTTCTGTACTGCCCATTTAACGAGATAAAAAAAAAATCGCACATCAACTTCATTAAGCCTAAATTACGAAATTGTGAAAATTTCAATTCTACTTTCTCTATCATCGACGCCTATCACCACCCTCACCATCTTCTCCATGCCGGACTCCGCCTTCTCCACTTTCGGTCAGCCGTCTCTCGCCCACCTCCTCCTTCACTTCTCCCCCTTCTCTCTCTCTCCCCAATCCCTCCTCTCCCTGCCCTTCGCCTCCACAGTCCCGTCCCTCTCCCCCGTCAGCCACCTCGTCGTGACCTCCGGCCAGCCTGAACAAATATCCATCAACAACGTCGAATTCTCTGATACCCCCATTTTTTACGACGGATTTGTGTTCGTCTACACAATTGACGGTTTTTTCAACCTGAATTTCACCCTAGCGTATGCAGATTCGGCCAACCCGAACCCTAGATCCAATTCCCAGTGACTGAATTAATGTGTCATTGTTGAGTAAATTGGAATATGTTGCGTTGCTGTTTGTGAATTGGATTATTATTTTGTCATTATTACCATATATTAATGTGTCATTATCTATTGAAATAACTTTATGGAGAATCTCAATGGAATTTTTTGGTTTTCACTCCTAGGGCGTGCCAGATTTGCTGCCGAGATTAATTACTTTTCAGCTCACAGACGATCAAATCACCTCGGTTCAGGAGGTAAAGAAAGTCTGCTCAAATTTGATTGGCGTTTTTTTTGTTTCATTGATTTGTTTGCTGAACTTCGATTTATTGTTGTTGTTGTGGTGGTTCGTACAATAGGAAGTTACGAGGATTAGAAATGAACATCTTGATCATGCTTGTGTTGTAATCAATGACCGAGTGAAAGGTTTGTTAAAGGTGACTCGAGCTTTTGGGGCCGGTTTTTTCAAACAGGTTTGTATATGTGAGTATGTATGTTCTTTTGAGGCATATTCTTTGTGGTTTTGGATATCTGCTCTTTCACCCCGATAAAGCATAATATGGTTCCGATATGCTTGCTAAACGCAACGTGTCCTTCTAAAAGGTTTTCAGAAATGTTTGTCGAGTTGCTTTTGCGGTTTTATTTTTATTATACAAAAGGAAAATATATTGTTTTATAATAATTATGAATTGATTGATGAGTGTTTCTTGATGCTTTGATGTTATCCAAATGTTCTTGGGCTTAAACCATAAATATTAGGCTATTTGTTTTATTTGTGGCTTTGCTGTTTGTGAATTGAGGTAAATTGGATGATTATTTGCTTTGTTTATTAGACTATAGAGAATTCGAAATGATTCCGGGTTTTGCAGTGCTAGTTGGTGAATATAGATAAATGGCTACTTGTGGAATTTCGATCGTTCCAACTGTGTTTTCTTGTGAGTTGTGATACTATTTTAGTCTATTTTTTGAAGTTCCTCTGTTTTACTCATCGGCCAACCGATATGTTTTTTTCTGTCAGATGAGAAGAGAGGTGAAAATGGAGACTCGAAGGTCGGAAAAAGTGATGGGCTGCGTTTTCTATTTTTCGATGGCTCCGATTACCCCTTCTTTCTAATTTACTTGTGTTAATTTTTAGAAAAAAAAAAATTAAAGTAGATTTTTTATTGTTAGTTTGATGTTTATTGATGTTTATCTATGGTTTTCTTGAAGATGAGAGCTTGAATAATCTGTGGAAGTTTTTTATAAAGTAAATTTTTGAGTGTTAATTGATCTATGATTTCATTACGTGTGTTAATTTCTGGGAAAAAAAATTTAGTTTTTTGAGAATTAATTCGATGTTTATCTGATGTTTATCTATGATTTCTTGAAGCTCGGAGCTTGAGTAATATCTAGTAGTTTTTTTTATTCACTGCAAATGTGACTCGGGTATTTTGATGTAGAGAATTTGAAGGCGACTGTCGCGTTGTTGTGCCGATTGGTGATCGTTGTTTGTGTATGTGCTACTATGTGATATATTTGTGTTTTGATAGATTTTGAAAGTTAATTTGATTGTTAATCTGTAACCAAAGATATGATTATATGGTTATTAATTAGTTTTTTTTTTGTTTATTTGTAGTTTATATTCAGTTTATTTTTTTAATTAATTAGGTTTTTTTTTGTTTATTTGTAGTTTATATTTAGTTTATTTTTTTAATTGATTTTGTTGTCTATTCATTTTTGTGTCATTTAGTTATAATTATAAATTAGATTTTTTTTTAATTAGGTTTTTTTTTGTTTATTTGTAGTTTATATTTAGTTTATTTTTTTAATTAATTTTGTTGCCTATCCTTTGGTCAGCTGTAGCTGTTTCTTCGGCTGAGTTGTTTCTCCGGGGGAGGGTCGTTTATTTTTAGTTCTTCAGTGTGTTTGTAATGTGTGTTGTTTGTCGCTTTGTTGTCTTTTTTTGTTCGGTGTGCTTTTGTTTTTGTTTGGAAATGAATGAAGGCTAGGCATTGTGCAGTGGCTCTGCTATTCATTTTCCTTTATTTTCGATTGTGGAGTTCTCTAGGCCGCCATGTGCGTGTCCTCTCAGTTTTCTATTCCTGTTCTTTTTTAGGAGTGTTTTTGGTTTGGGCCGTTGGCCCCTGTCTCATTACCCTGTTGGGGTCTTAGGATTACCCCGTTGGGGTCTTGTAATTTGTTCTCTTTGCACTTTTGTGCTTTTTATAGTACATCTATCGTTTCGGGAAAAAAAAAATACTTAAGATATACTTAAGGTTAATCAATTTTTTATGATTTTTAGTAAAGAAAATAGATAATATACTTATGATATGCTTAAGATATATATTTAAGATTCACCAGTTTTTTTATGATTTAGTAAAAAAATAAAAAAATATATTTAAAATATACTTATGATTAACCATAAATTCTAATTAATTTTTAATAGTATAAATGTAATAAATTTAAGATAAACTGAAAATGATCTAAATGAATTTATAAAAGATAACGGTATGGTTTTCAAATAAAAAGGCTTTTGAATTTTGAATAAATATTTGAAATTATTTACAGGCTTCCAATAAAAAGGCTATGGAAGACATAGGTGTAAAAAGGCTATGGAGCACATTAGTGGAATTATTTTACTGGTTTCGTAGAATGGGAATAGGTTTTTTGGAGGAACATATATGCGTCCTTTAGCCTTTTATTTTACCCTTTTTGGAGTTATTAAACAAGGCCCAATTTGAGTTAATTATTTTTGGCGAAAATACACATACACGTGTAAATCAAGCAGCATGTGCCAATTAACGAGATTTTAAAGTTAAGCGCAGATTTGTTGCTACATAAAACTTAATTACCCAAAATTACGAAGCTACAACAGAAGGAAGAAAATCTGTGGAAATCAACTCAATCTACCCCAAAATCAGCTCGCGAGAAACTCACTAAAAAGGAAATTGTTGGAACAATCCAAAACAGAAAAACTCACCTTTCGAGTATGGAAATGTGGAAATCGTGTCGAGGGGGAATTTTCTGAATCTCGAGCTCGCGAACACTTTCGTTCTGGGAGATTGAAGGTATATTTCGAATATTTTCCGTCTAATTTGAAGTAGCCAATGCTATTTTCATTGAACAGAAGCTTAATTTTCAACAATGGCGGCTTGGGTGTATTTTTTTTTTTTTAACCAATCCATTTTTTGTAGTATTTATTGAGGTATTTTTGTGGTAATCTGCAGCAATATGTCGAAAATTATGGTGTTTTTGCACTACAATGGAGAGTGGTGTAACAACACTTACATTGATTTTGAAGTTGAGGGAATATCTATGAATCAGAGTTGTTGTTTCGGTGATTTCACCAAGCAAGTTGCAGATTTACTGAAGATAAACCACATGGAATCAAGGTGGAGTTTTAAGTATCAGGTACGAGATGGATATCCGGCCATTAAAATTGATGATGATCAAAGCCTTGGATTCTACATGGATTTGAAGTCGAGGGAGGTTGATTACACTAAGTTTCCAGTATGTGTGATTAAGGAGCAAAAAAATACTTTGATTCCAGTTCCACTCCTCATCAATGCCGATCACAGCGAAGTTGCAGGGAATGAGGGCATTGTTGCTGCTTTGGACTTTGATCAATTTGACTATGAAGGTTCAAAGTATATGAATTTTATGGATTTTGCAAGAGAAGCTGCCGAAGCCATGTCGTTAGCTGCATCAAGTGTTGAACAACAACAGACCACATACGGAGCTGTTGATACGACATCAGGTAATGTGGTCGAAGTGATGCACAATCCAGCAATTGGACATTCATTTTCCAGCAAAACTAGTCTGCAGAAAATGCTTGCGTTATATGCAATCAAGCACCAGTTCCAATTCAAGGTACAAAAATCGTGTCCTAAACAGTACTTCGTAAAGTGTGTATGGGATGGGTGCAATTGGTTCATTAAATCATCTCGAGTAGGACGGTCGAGTATGTTCAAAATCAGGGAAATGGTGAAAGATCACAACTGTCCATTTGAGGTCAGAACAAACAACCAACGACAAGCTACGTCAACACTTGTTAGTGAATGCATAAAGGGGAAATTCACAAACGTGACAACAAAATACAACGCTGCAGAAATTATACACGATATGAAGTTGACATATGGCATCGATTTATCATACAAAAAGGCATGGAGATCAAAGCGCAAGGCTCTAGACGAGGTACAGGGAAAACCGGATGAATCGTACGAATACATTCATGAGTACCTCCAAAAGCTCTGTCACTCGAATCCCGGAAGCATTGTGAATCTCTGTACTACTGAAGATAAACATTTCGTGTATCTGTTCATGTGTCTAAATGCTTCGATCAAGGGCTGGCCACATTGTAGGCCTATCATTGTTGTTGATGGCACGTTTCTAAAGTCTACATATGGAGGAGTTTTACTCACAGCGTGTACGCAAGATGCAAATTCGCACGTACTCCCACTTGCTTTCTGCATCGTGGACTCGGAAAGCAATGAGTCATACTCTTGGTTTTTCAACAAGTTGAAATCTGCCCTACCTGAGAGAGAGGGATTATGCATTGTCTCAGACGCTCATGAAAGCATCAAATACGCCGTATCAAAGGTAACTATGAAAACAACAGTATATTTCTTCTTTTTATGGATGACTTGCAAGATAAGTGTCGACTTTTGAATGATTATGTTCTGTACTTTATAAAATGTAGGTATATCCAGAAGCTTCGCATTGCTTGTGCACTTACCACCTCGCCAACAATCTGAGGAATAACTATAGAATAGCGACAACGGAAGTTAAGCATGCATTTATTTCAGCCTCTAGAGCATATACAAAGGAAGAGTTCAACAGGTATATGCTGGAACTGAAGAAGTTGGATCCAAGGGTACCAACACATCTTGAAAAAGTAGGTTTCCACAAATGGGCTCGTATCCACTGCCAAGAAAATAGATTCTTCACAATGACGTCAAACGCAGCAGAAACTATAAACTCGGCTACGAAAGTGGTGCATGAATTACCTATAACAACGTTGCTTGAATCTTTGAGATCAATACAGCAAAAATGGAACGTGGCAAATCGAGATGAGGCAAAGTGCATGTTTACTATTCTGACAAAAAAAGCAAACAATATCCTTGAAGAAAATTACAAAGTGACTTCCTGTTTGTTTGTAAGTTTATTTTATGTTTGTATTGTAATAATTTAATAGAATAAATAATCTGTATGAAACTGAATTTGTGAATGAAAAGGAATTTGTGTATATGTTGACAGGTCCAGAAGGCGAGCGACCAAGTTTATAAGGTGTATAACGACGTGTATTCACATGTTGTAAATTTGGATGCCAAGACATGCACTTGCAATCGGTTTCAAATGGACGAGCTACCATGTCCACATGCCATACGCGTCATTCGGTCTTTACATATTGATCCAGTGCCATTTTGCTCTGATTATTACAGGACGACTAACTTTTTGGAGACGTATGGTGAAGTAGTTTATCCTATCGAAGGTCCGCAAACATTTGATGCTGTGGACAATAAAAAACAGAGACAGGTGCAACCACCTATAGGCAAAGCGAAATCGGGGCGTCGGCGAAAACAACGATACAAGTCTCCATTTGAGGCTCTTAAAAAGAACAAGTGCGGAAAATGCGACGAGAGGGGCCATAATGTAAAGACCTGTCCAAATCCTCCGAAGATCAGAGTAGATAACCATTGATGACACTTGTTGAAGTTGCAGGATTTTTTTGTCAATTATTTTCAAAGTTGATGCTCTGTTGATCTAATTTGGTGCTATGTTGGGGACTACCAGTTTACAATGAGTTTTATGTTCTGGACATAACAAGTTTTTTTTTTCTTTTTTTTTTTTGCCTAATATGAGTAAATATATATGATTCTATTTTAGTGTCAACAAAGAATATTTTTTGAGTGCATGAGTTAATATATTGGTTTTTATATAGATTGCTATTGGTCCTTGAAATTGTGTTGTATTGGTGGTATCGATTTTTGAACAACATTTAGAGATTAGAATGTGTTTGATGATAGTGTAGTTTGTGAATGAATTTATATGTAATTTAATAGTTAAGAAAATGTTTAGATTATCCAAAGAAAACTGAGAAAATACAAAAAGTAAACACCAAATGGATACATTATAAATTAAAAACAATTAAACTTGCTAAAAATATTGTGTATTAAAACAACTACTAAAAATAAGTTAGTTATTCATATTAAAACCGTCAACTTTTTCACAATTATAATATAGTTTAGAAATTTCATAAATAAACACATAAATTACACAAGTTCATTGGTACCTGATAGTCAATGGTAGACATGAAAAACACTACAAGTAAAATACATAAATATGTTACTCGGTAAAATATACTATAAGTAAAATACAGAAATACCACAAGTATTCCTTGAACAAACATAAGAATAGGAGAAAAATGAAATATCATACATAAAAACACCAAGAAGATAACATACAATCATTCAAAACATGTCCAACATATTCCATAACACACCATGCCCAAAAGAAGAAACACCAGAGTTTAGTTTGTCTACATAGTCTGACAAAAAATACATGATAGAACAACAAATGTTAACCAAACTCGTTAAACATCAAATTCAGATGCTAATTAGTATAGGGAAGTACTAGCAAACTATTGTGTACAAATTGTTATATTTTACCGAGTACCGAATCAAAGATTCGTTTCCCGGGTCGATCTCTCGAGGAAGGCGGTTCGGAATTTAGCTTTGGTAATGATAACACATAAAAAGAAAACAAAATCCTAAACACTCTAATCAGAAAATGGGTTTGAATAATTACTGTCTAAAAAACAATAAAGAGCAATAATCTACCTAAAAATGTGGATGGAACAAAGATGGAGAAACTAGGGAATCGGGGATAATTAATTCAAGTTCTAGCAAATCCGGGCAATTAATCGTTCAGTTCGAGATTGACACTCTCGCTTAAACATCTAGAGGTTCGCTCCCAATAACTCTTTGTAACAAGGGATTGAACATAGACGAACAAGCTTGGGCATACAACATAGGCCAAATATCCCAATCCCAATAACTTTTCGTAACAAGGGACGGGTCATCGACAAACATGTATTTCAATCTCAACCCATAGATTATTCAGTTACGAAATCATCTACCTCATGCGAGCCTAGGTCTACGACTTCTCCCCTTTCGGTTCTAAAAGTCGCTAATTAACTAGAAGGTGATTAATCAACTAATCATATAGAATTGACAAACCCTAACTCGACAAATTAACATTCAATCGTTTCCAATCGCAAGATCGAAGTGTCACTCTTCGATTATATCAATCAATCAAGCACAAATTCATCAATTCTGAATCAATTCAACTCACATAAACATGAACAAATCGAGCCCGACAAATCCACGTTAAACAAGAACAGTCATCCCCTATCCCAATTGGATTTAGCTAAGCATATCAAATTCAACACACGAACACATGTCTCCTAAATCAACCATTTTCATGAATTAATTCAAAGAGAAAAGAAATTCTTACAATTTATTCAATCCAAGTGTTGAACCTTCATACAAGCTTGAATCCAAAATGCAAAGAAGAAGAAGAAGAAGAAAGAAATGAAAATAAAAGTGAAAAGAAGAAGAAAAACGAAGAAGAAGAGAGGGAGGAGAAGGGAGTTTTTGCGTTTTTCTGGACCTAGGGTTCGTCCCCAGGAGGGGGAGAGTCCAAGAATGGAGAAGAAAACGAGTTTTTGGGGTTTTTATACAATTCTGGGACTTGCAGGGGGCCTTAGCGCCGCTAAGGGGGTTTAGCGCCGCTAAGGTGCCTTAGCCGTTCGAGCCAGTAACGTGTAGCGCCGCTATCCTGTGTGCCTTAGCGCCGCTAAGGTGCCTTAGCCGCGCTAAGGTTCTGGGCAGCCTGCTGGACTTTGCTTTTCGGGCTCGTTTGAACTCGGAATTGAGTTCCGTTTTTTCCTGCGCGTAGCTAACGAACCCCTCTATCTAACTATGTAATCCCAGCACATATTTTCCTGAAAACTTGTCCTCCCAAAGCTTCCGACCTGCACACAAAAAATGAAAGAAAAGACGAAGAAAACCGGAAAAACACAGAAATACTCACAAAGACGCGAAACACGAAATAAACGACAAAACGACTCTAAAACCACACAAGTGACTCAAAATGGGGGAAAAAGAACGAGAAAATAGACACGAAAAACGTAACAAAAATGGGACAAACAACTCCCCCACACTTAAACCTTTGTTCGTCCCGAACAAAAACAAAAGAAAAGAAAACAAAACACGAGCATGGATATCAGCTTCAAATAAGAAAAGTTTCAAATTCATTGACTTAGCCGAGGAGACTTCAAAAGACCAATAAAACACATCTCAATTACAACTTAAATGGTACGCATTGACAAGACAAACTCTCAAACACGGGAATATCATGTATAATGCCTCACTCAGTTTCTTACATAAATATGAAATGGGAGCGCTCAAATTGGTCGGCAATCAAGTTTCAACATAGGCTTGCTTATCGTCTATTCATACTCTAAAACAATTAAAAATCATGAAGTGCAAATCAAGAGGGCTTCATGGGTTGTAATGTAGGTATCAAAGGAAGGACAAATAAGAAGATAAAGTGGCTCAAATAAACAATCACACTTTCGAGCACATAAATACTCGAATATCCCACCACCTATCCGTAGTCAACAAGAAACTAATCATTCCCACCAAAAGCTACATACACCACTAACACATGCTCAAGCTTGAAATGCAAATTAAGTACTCGACTGTTTTTTTTTTCTTTTTTTATTTTTATTTTTGGAGAGTAACTTTTTCCGAACAACAACGAATCGAAAGGACAACAGTCCATAGGTTTAAACATTGGAGGTCTTCCAAGTGTCCTACAGTAGTTTCCCAATGCTCATTACCCATCAACGTGAATCGACTAGCAAGAGGAGCAGAATCCATTCGAATCGCCTTGTGAGCTCTCATTTTCTTTTTCTTTTTTTTGTTTTTGGTCAAGCACTCAAAATGCAAACAAGTTCTATGCCTCATCAACACCTATCAAAAGCTCCGTCATCATATCAAGTACACTGTCAAATCTCAAATAATTCAATCGAATCGGTTGACAAGAAATACGGTTCAAGGCTCAACGGGCTACTAGTGAAAATATAAGTTCAAGGGTCAATGAAAAGGGCTAAAACGAGCTATGTGAAAGAAATGCCTCAATCATTTTCACAAACCACAACTTCAATCGATTATTTCAAAACAGACTCAAGCAAGTTCTGATCAACAAAATTCCGACCATATCTCACAGAAACAGAATAAGGCTCAATCCTCACAAGGTAAATAATATCCAATCAAAACGACCAATCGAGTTCATCAAAATATGCCATCATGATCAATATTACATCTCCTCAACTTCATCAACAAATATCAACAAAACTTAAAATTCACCAATATCCATACTCACAAGACACAAAAACCTAAAACTAGCCCGGCCCACCATATAAGCATGCGAAAATCCGAATAACTCCCCCACACTTAAAATGAGGCAATGTCCTCATTGCTTCAACACGAAACAGGAAGTCAAATAAAGGACCTAGAACTTTCACATAATGAACCAAACTCAACAACTACGACAACAACACAAGACTTAAAAGCAAAGATAGAGGAAAGAACAACTCAAAAAAGATAAAAAGAAAAGAAAAAAAGGGTGTGCAAACCGAAGATGCCCCGAGGAGAATAAGCATCCACATACGAGCTACTCGCCCACGCACCGCTCTGGACCTCGATGTTCGTCCTGCTCAAGCTCACAAACTTGTACCTGCCAAGAAAAACACAGAAACTCCAAACTCCCATTATTAAAAGATGAAATAAAAAGCAAAAAGAAAATAACAAAGAAAGCAGTAAATCACTTGGGTTGCCTCCCAAGAAGCGCTTGTTTAACGTCATTAGCTTGACGAAACCTGTAAGGAACTCAGCCAGGGTCCAAGAAGAAGTGGCGATCGTGCCACGCCTTCGTATTTTCCAGAAGTGGAAGCATGGGAAGGGTGGCAAGAAGGTGGGCATGGTGGATTCGGGTGGCTGTGTTCTGAAGGAAGTGGTCTCGGGAACGAGCAATCCCCGGTAATTGACATAGAGCTTTTCCCACCCGAGCTCTATCATCAATCTCAGGAATAACGAGCAAATCGGTGGAGCAAGTCGAGCTAACTCTGGCCCACTTGGTAGCACAGTGTGATGGCTCCGAAGGTGAATGCTCCATCTCGGTGGCAGGAAGAGGAACTCGAGAGATGGTGACATGATCAAGTCCATGAATCTCCTCCTCCGAAACATCGTCGTCCCACTGAAGAGCATCATCTTCCTCTTCGGTCTCACACATGTGCATCGGAAAATACGTTTGGGCACCAACCATAAGATGGGAGTTGTCAGCTTTTAACTCGATAGAGTCGAGACGTGCTGTCAGATTTTCCATTTGAGCGCTCAATCGAGCACACTCGAGCTCAATCTCCCCTTCCCGGTTTGCTTGGGCCATCATGCGATCGAGGATGAGATCAAGTTTGGCGTTGAATCCCGAAGAGTTGTCCTCGAGCTCATAGAAAGGTACGGGCTGTGGACGTGGGTCCACAACCATGGACTCTATAGAGTTGATACGCCTTGCTAGACTCTCCAATTGCTCGCTCAAACGGGCACATCCGAGCTCAATCTTCTCCTCTTGTTTTGCTTGGGCCATCAATCGATCTAAGATGAGATCGAGTTTGGCATTGTATGCGGCCTCTTCTTCTCGAGCTGATTTGGACTCTATGAAATCAAGAATCTGGTCGAGCTTCTTGTTAAACTTGTGGGACTCATAAGTTTGCTCAACCGAAAAATGGTGCCAGCACTGCTCGGAAGAGTACGGATAAGATTGGGTGTGGTACTCAGCGGGATAGCTCGGCTCATTGCTCCAAGAGGGGTAGTGCAGGGAGGAGTACACGTGATTAAAGTTCATATCTCCTGCACACCAAAACAGAACAACCACACGTAGCCACGAAAAGAGAGAAACAAAGAAAACAAAAACAAAACAAAGAAAAAGAAACAAAGATGCACAAAAGAAAGAACGAAAAAACGATAATTACAAACTAAAGAGAAACACGAAAAATAAAATCAATACCAAAATAAATATCCTACTTGCCTTCCCCGGCAACGGCGCCAAATTTGTTGTAAATATTTTAACCGGAGTAGAATCTAAAGATTCGAACACCGGGTCGTGTCTCACGAGGAAGGCTAGCCGGAATATTCTATATGTTTATTCAAAAACAAATAAAAGAAATAAAGATCCTAGACATACTAATTCAAATGATTCGGTTTGATTATTAACTACGAAGAACAACTTCAAATTAAGCAAATGAAAATAGTAAGCAACGACGAAGAACAAATAGGATTTAAGGAGCTAGGGAGTCGGGGATATCCGTTTTGGTTCGAGTTGTGACAATTGGGCAAGTGATCATTCGGTTAAGTGATTTGAATAATTTGCTCGTTCAAGTACTCATCCTCAATAACTCTTCGTAACAAGAGAACAAACTTGAACGGCAAAATTAACAAGTCATTTAACTCCTAGGCAATACAGTTACGAACAAGCCTAGTTTGTACGAGCCTATTTCGACCGACTCCTCCCCTTCCGGTTCTAAGAGTCGATTAGATTAGACTAGAAGGTTGTCAACTGACTAATCAATAAGAATAACCATTATCATGCGAGAATACATCGAATTCAATCGTAGATTGGAAATTGAAGTGTCACTCTTCAATAATTCTCAATACTCAGGCTCAATATTTGAAAAACCCTTTTGAAGCATAACTCGTACAAATAGAACAATCAATAAATCCCAACAATCACAAACGAATTCAAAACATTAATCCCCTATTCCCTAGCATATGAATTTAGCTACTCATATTGGATTTGATCACACAAACATTCATAACCCAAGACATCATCATCAATGAAAGAATTGAAGAAAAATACTTATGATTAATGAAAATTCTGAACTCAATCCAATAGTATCCAAATCCAAAGCAAGATAATAGAGGTTTTTAATCTCTAAAATCGAATCCAAAGAGCAAAACAATGATAGAAGGTGTTTCTCCTCAGCAAAACGCGCATAAAAAAGTCTAAGAGTGTCTCCTAAAATAAACTCTACTCCTAATTATAATAGAATCGCGAACTAATCTGATAAGCAGTAGCTAGCGCCGCTAGAGGGGGGGTTAGCGGCGCTAGAGGGGGGTTAGCCGCGCTAGAGGGGGGTTAGCCGCGCTAGGGGGGGGTTAGCCGCGCTAGCTGCTAGCTAGTGACGCTAATGCTTGGACAGCGACTTTTCTCTTCAGCTCGCTAGTATATGGCAGCGGCGCTAGGTCCCTTAGCGGCGTTAGCGACCCCTAGCGGCGCTAACTCAACAAAACTGGCTTTTTGTCCCGTTTCGGCTCGCCTAACCTCCCCCGGTCGACTTATAAGCCCCCAACTGTCTCGTGCACTCCCGGGTTCCGCCCGAGCTCGAACATTGTCCTTCACATGTTGGTCCGCACGACTAGCTGAACGATCCTAAAGCAGCGTTTTGAATACCTGAAACCAACACCAACCGAGAAAACACGGAAACAGGAGAATAGGAAGAAAGAAATACGAAAAACACGAAAAATACAGAAATAACACTAAACGCACAAAATGACTCAAATGATCGGAAAAACCTACAAAACAACCTAGAGTGGGAAAAGAAAGATAAACAAAATACCACAAAAGTAGCAACAAAAATGGGACAAACACAAACTTCAATAATTTGCCGGCAACAGACCAGGCGAATCATCATCACTCTCGGAATCTTTTTCCTGCTTCATTTTTCCATGTGTGTATAATAGGTATGAAAACCTTGACCGCTCGATATCAACATCAAACGTAGCAGCATTGATGGGCTCATTAGAAACAATATACTCCGTAAACGAAGCAACGAATACGCCACAATCACTGGCAAGTATGAAAAAACAAAAAATACAGAAAAAATGAATGTAATTAATATTTAAATAGAAAAGAACTATCAAAGTTATAAATTATATTAAAATACAACTTACCAGAAAAGCTGTTGGGGCAAATCTTCCACGAAAATGACATCAAGAGGATCATTCTCTGCCTTTCCCGAGTATGGACCAATGTTTTTTTTTATGTCAGCACGTCTAGAGACAAATTTTACCATAGCAAGAAATATGGGGATCAATATGGAATATCGCTTGACACTCTCTAGCACAACCTGGTCAAAATCAGTCGATCGATAGGAGTTATAAATCATCAACTTTCTAGTTGCGAACGACAACCTCCCTAATATCCAATGGCCAACACCTTCCAACTCAACATGAATCGGAAAGAGTACGTAATCAACATCAAACCATGACTCCCCGCACAGAATTTTGAATCCAAACATGTAGTCGACAATGACACTATCGATCGTACAAATCCGGGGGTCACATGAGTTAACAATGTATAAAGAATATAGTGATTTCATCTGCTGGTCGAAAAAATTATCAGTGGTAGTAAATTTCTGAGAAGGTGGTTCAAGAGCATACAATCCAATCTTTCGGATGTAGTAGAACAAAACATCAATATGCTAAAAAAAAATATTTAAAAATTAGAACGCGAAAAAAGGAAAAAGGATGAAGACAAACACAGTTAAAATGATACTTACACTACCATCAAGGAAACAATTGGATTCATACAAGGTGAAGAACCAATTCTTATCCGAAACCACGTCAACATTAAAATCAAATGGGGGGCTTAAGGTTGTGTTCTTCTTGTCATAGTACACGAACCTTTCAGAAGATGAATTAAATATAAAATAAGAAGAATGAACAAATGACGGAATGTAATAAAAACAACAAAATGAAAGTACATACCCTTCCTTTTTTCTTACGCCGATTCTTAAGTTTACCCACTTTCAACCACTCAAAGAGATCCGAAGTTAAATCAAACCGCATCGTGTCCCAAAAATCAGTGTCAAAAGGGCATGACTTACAAATAACTTGTCTTTTTTTTACACGTTTGATTTTCTTAAATGGGATGTCGACCACCGACACAAGATCATCCACATTTTGGTTACCCTGTATACCAATATCAAGACCTCCAATAACACCAGGAGTGTCCTTCATTAAAGAAACATAACAGATCAATAGCTATGCATAAAAATAATAAGTTATATACTTCGAGGAAAACATGAGGTTTACTTTACGACATCGAAAGGTAAGATAAACTGTGAATAAACTTTTTGACTTCAGTTCAAGGAAAACATGAGGTTTACATTTAGACATCAAAAGGAAAAATACACTACAGATAAACCAACAAAAAACCACGGATAACCCAACAATAAACCACAGATAAACCACATATATATATATATATATATGTATAACCACAGATAAACCAACAAAAAACCATAAATAAACCACAAATATATATATAACCACAGATAAACCAACAAAAAACCACAGATAAACCACAGATAAACCACAAATATATATATACGTATAACCGCAGATAAACCAACAAAAAACCATAAATAAACCACAAATATATATATAAGTATAACCACAGATAAACCAACAAAAAACCACAGATAAACCATAGATATATATATACGTATAACCACAGATAAACCAACAAAAAATCACAGATAAACCACAAATATATATATAAGTATAACCACAGATAAAAAAAAACACACAAATAAGTATATACACAAGAGTAAAAGTATAACCAAATATAAACCAACAAAAAATCATATTGAAACATTTTCATGAACAGTTGTAAATATAGAAGTTATATACACAAGAGTAAAGTCATATTACATTTTTGTTGGCAGTTAGCATGCTTTTTAATTTTTCCTCGGTCGTCCTATCAATCTCATCCATCATTTGCGGGGTCAAAACAGGGAAACCATCAACATCGAAATCTACATTATGTTCACCATTCCCTTGTACAAACTGAGAAACATATCAACCAAAATAAAAAAAGGATTACTGATTTTAAATGTAGACTTAGTTGTGATCATAGAAATAAAATTAAATAATTACACTTACATCTTCAGCATCAACTTCCTTGTGGATCCCAACGTTTTCTTGATGACGACTACTTTCTGGAACATCGTTGGGCTTAGCACCTTCTCCATCATTTAATCCCTTAGAAAGTAAACACAGTTAACTTAGATAAAAAATAAATTACGAAAACTCTGATGATACAGAATAAATTTAACTTAGATAAATTATGTTAAGAAGAAAAAATTGTAGATTGAGCATAAACCGTTCGAGAAATATCTTGGTTATCCACATCATGGGGGAGATCTTGTTGTTTACCACTTTCTTCATGCTGATACATAGTTAAGTGAAAATATTAAAAAAAGAAACACATGTATTCCATGTATATATATATGTAAAAGTAAACCAAAAATAGACCAATTATAAATTTACCAGCATTGTTTCTTTAAGACTGAGTATCTCATGCATCACTTTAGTCGAAAAGTCAGTAAACAACTTCTTCAAATCATCCAAATCATTCATAATCTTCACTTGGTTTGAAGACAACTCGTTTAAACGTCCTATAAAAGGAGACTCAGTTGCACCGGGAACAGAGAATGTAGGAGTACTTTGAGATTCATTACGGATGAACTCGTTCCTTTCGACAAAAAAACCGTCCAGCTGAAGGATCGTCTTCTCCGATTCGGTGGGAGTTATATTTTTGAACTGTAGGGATTAATACACATTAAAAAATAAAAGAACTTAAAGCAATGTTATGAAAAGATAACTTAATAGTAAAATATCAAAATAAGCAACTAATAGAAACCTTATCTGATGGCAAGGTCAAGAAAACCCTCTGGATGAGTCGTCTACCACATCTCATGTGTGCCTCCCAATTTAACATCCAGGGCACATTAGGAACTGAAATACGGGTACATATGACTCCATCTGTGCTATCACACACCTCATAAAACCACACCTGAAGCGATAGAATAAACCCACGTATCCTATAAAGATATACTCTTTTTTCAGTGCCATCTAATTTCTGAAGCAAAGACTCCTTGTTACGAGACGACATCTTTAGATAATCAAGGGTGTAGTCGTACACCTCTTTACCCCACGGATAGTTATCACAATCTTGGCTATCAAGAATATCTAAGAAACACCTATCAAACAAAAGATTATTCTGAGCACCCATGAGAAAATTCGCGAGCAAGTGAAGCTTGGCCAGTTTCACTCCATCATGGTCATTTATCCACGCTCTATTAAGAGATAGACATTTAATAGATTGACGGTTCAAGCCAACATTGGTGAAATATCTGTCAAAAAGACCATCAGAGACGGGGGGATAACAAAGCTTTTTACATAAGCCATTACAATTTAGACCACTTATCACAGCGAACTCCTCAACCCCAAATCTCATGATCTTCCCACCAAAGTCAAACCACATTTCATCCAACCTCGGTTGGTGTACTTCTCGTAATGAAATCAAATTGACAAGTTGATTCTGAATCTTATAATGAGGTAGGTCTATAAATTTACCAAAAGCAGAATTTCTAAACACCTCCAATTGATCGTTGGATAACAAACGCTTAATGTCAGCAATAGGTGTGGTAGAACGACTGTTATCAATGCTGTTGATTATCTTCACGACCAATGCTCTTGAGTTTGGAAAAAGCAATTCCCAATCCTAATGAAAACAACAAACAATTGATACCAACAATAGCAGTAAAACATATAGAATAGATCTAACGAGTTTATACAGACATGAACATTAGTACCAACAATGGCATTATTTGCTTGTCAACATAGATAGCAACAATTTTTGTGAGGATCAACAAATAAATCAATTAAAAAAAAATTGGACAAAATTAAAGATAAATTATATGAACACTGATACTAGGAAAAATACTTCTAAAGGAAAAAAATACCTTGTGTTCTCTTTGGTGTTTATTCCTGGCATCTTCATCTTCAAACTCGGAACAACTCGATTTATGCCTATGTGTGTTGCCCTTGGACCTCCTCAGTACTGATTTGTTAGCCTCAGAGCTATCCTCACTTTCTTCTTCATCCACAGGAACACATTGTTCAACTCCGAAATCAGAATCGATGTCATCTGGATATTTAACCTTCCTCTTCCCATTAGCATCTCCGTTTCGCTCCATAGCATTCTTCTGAGAAAATCGCTTCTTCTGAGCACTGGAACGAGTTATCGGACATCTGACATGCGAGTGTTCTCCAACACCTTTGGTCTGCACATTCTTCTTGCCAAACTGAATTTTCTTTTGAACAAGCCTCCGACGGCGCTAAACTTCAACTTTCCGATGATTTTGCTCCAGATTTCCTTCACCTCCAGATGAAGTATCAGAGACATAATTTTCATCCTCAACTTTCGCCATTAATTCATCTGCACAATTGATTTTTGGATTTTACTTTGAACAAATTAGGGAAGAATGAAGAAAAATGGTGAGCATCGACATCAATTGAGATCTGCAATTTTTGATATGCGTGTGGGCAGGAAACGTGTTTGAGAAGAGCCGAATCTCGAAAAATCTTGAGATACGGTTTTATTCACTTTAATTAGCACTAATTAATCAGATTCCTAAAGTGGAATTGTACGTGTACTAATTTCGTATTTTCCGACCAGAGAAAAGTTAATTGCGAAGATTTTTTGATTCTCGTTAAAAGGGCAAAATAAAAATATTTGTACGTCTCCGGGGTAATTTTTTCATTATTTTTCTTGGCCAATTTCGAGTTAAGCCTCTCAGCCCACTTTGTGAAATTCTTTTCCTCTTCGGCGACTGAGTCCTCCTCTTCTGTTCGAATTTCTTTTGTTGCGATTTTTGTGAGATTCTCCTCTCACGTTTGCACGTCTCTTTCTCTCGTTCTTAAGTACCTGGCCGAGCGAGAGATTTCTCTTATCTTCTTCATGGTTCATCAGCTTGCGCTAGTTTTTTAAAAAACAAATTCAGTCCGTCATGTTTTTTCCAGCGACTTGAGCAGCTTCTGTCCGATTCCAACGCCGGCATCCCCTCAACGCAGCAGCCCTCCTGCCGTCGTCAACCCGCTGCAAGCAGCTTTTCGCTATCGCCTGCGAAGCCATCATCAGTCACCGTTCACCGAGTGCTTACAGTCCCGTTTGTTGTCAGAGTTCATTGCAGCAGGAGCATCGCGAGGAGCCTCTGTCCATTCGCAGCGCTCGTACAAGGTTCCGAGCTTCCGAGGTTTCGGTCCGTTCGTTCGATTCGCCACCAATCGAGTACGTAGACTCCCAAAAGAAGCTATTAATCGGTGAACCTCCTTTTTGTGCTCGTGTTTATTTTCTCGTCGGATTATTTCATGTTCAGTGAATTGATTTTCGTTAGTTGGTTTATTTCCTGTTCTTGTTGTGTTGTTGCCTTGTGAATTCATCGCAGATATTGGAACTCTCGTTTGTGAAAAATCGAGCCTTTAGTCGCTGTGGTTAAATCTGAAATTTTGGAGTCTCGTTGTATTTATCCGAGCCATCGTCGTTTTTTTTTTTGTCGTTTTGTTTTTGGAGTTAAAACCCAGTTTTTACAATACTTTTCAGAACTCTGAAATTTTGAATATTTTTCGAACCCTTTGCTGTGTGAAATCAACGTCAAAATCCGTTGCCGGAAACTTTCACAGACAGGAGCAGCCGCCCAGTTTTATTTTCGCCGCAGTCCAGAGTGCAGTCTGTTCCTTGAGCATGCCCAGGCCTTCAGCCCTCTTTTTAATTATTCATCCAGCAGCCCAAAGTTCATAACCACGACCCATATTTCCTTTTTTCAGCATGGCCCATCTCTTTATCAGGGCAAACCCCAGCGTGCGGCCTATCTGTTAAAAAAAAAAAATTAACGCGCGGGCCGTCCCAGCCAGAGTGGCCCGTTTACTCACACAATTGCAGCCCGCGCGGCCTGCAAGCGGCCCGATCATAGCCTGCATCGCCCTTCAGCCCAATTGCCTTGTAATAGGCCTTGGTTGCGGCCCAATTGAAGTTGGCAGGCCCATTTTTACGTACCTGCAGCGGCCTCAGCACCTGTGGGCTTTTTCTCAGTGCGACCTTTTGGCCCAATTCGGCTTTTCGGCCCATTTTGAGTGCCGGGAACTTGTTTTTCGTGCAGGACCCGTTTTTAAGAAAAAATAAAATGAGAAGAAGGCTTGAAGAATTATTTTAAGTCTTATGACCCCTTTTCTTTGTCGAGTCTTATTCTTTAAAATTTCTAAGAGTTCCAAGTCCACTAAAATCCGATAAAAACCCTTAATCATTAATTTTTTTATTAAGTATGGTTTTATATAATTTTCAAATAGTGAGATAAGTTATTGATATGTTATCGCGCTTAAATATAGGTTTCTGAGGAGTCGAGCCCTCAACCTACCGAGTCGCTTGTGCTTTTCCTGTCATTCCGAACAGGTGGGTGTTGATAAACTTTATTGTGTCGGTATTCTTTATAATTGCTAGATTTTATAATCAATATATGCATCTGATCCATAACCTATCGTTCGATGTGGATTCGACTTTCGATACGGTATCCCTGTCATTGGATGCGGTTTCGACCGTCGACGGTGCTTAATGAGAGACAGTCTCCTCTATAGCCTAATGAAAGGCCTTGTCGTTCGATGCAGATTCGACCTTCGACATGTGCTCCCATTGTCGGATGCGGATCGAACTTCAGCGGTTATATAATGTACACTTGAGCATTATATGATATGATAGGAGATGTGATAATATGTTATTGATTCATGTCCATGCTGCGATTCTACTATCTGTTATTATACTGGATATATTGCACGATAATTCCCACGGTGAGCTTGTTGTTTGCTCACCCCCATTATTTCTATCTTTTTCAGGTTGAGCTGGTGGTCGTGGCAATGGACGGACGATGGTGGTCATTTGTTTATTTGAATTGTTATGAACTGCTTCCGCTTGAAATTGTTATCAAAACCTTATGTGTTTGGATGTTTGGGAAACTTTGAATTAATGTCTTATGTTGCAAGTTTATTATGAATGATTATTGATTTATATCTCGCTTTTTGACTTGTGTTGTGGATTGGGCAATGAGTTCCCAACGGCTTAAGATGATGTTAAGTCGAGTAAAATGGACGAATGATTTGAGTAGCGCTCGTTTAATTGTTTTAAGTCGATAAATGATTTTTGAAAAATTTACTATGATTTTTGGTAACTTTTGGGATTTTCCCTTTAAAAAAAACAGGCGTTACATTAATTGATTGGATAAAAGCATTTAATGCATCGTGCTACCTTATGAGTCTAGGACTTGCAGACCGTTAAATTGCCCGGCAGAGATGTACTTTTCCATGATTAGATTACAAGTGGCCTTTATTTTATTGTCTTCTGTTCGGCCTGTTCGTCTAGCTCGGGTTAAAGTTCTTGTCAAATTTCGCCTCGTTGCCTCTTTTGCCACGATCCTCTTCTGTCGGATGACCGGACTGGGTATCCATCTCGGTTCATTGGGTGAGAACTATCTTAGTCTCTCTTGTGGGGTCGTTTCTTCAACTCGGGGATCAAACGGTAATGTAAAAAAATACATGGGTGGTCAAAACCGATTCTAACTAGCTAATCTCTACTTCCATTTTAACTAGCTAATCACCACTTAATTGCTTTTAGGCACATGTTTAAGGTATTCTTTGTTTATAAATTTCTTCAATTCATACTCAAAATCTAACTCAACTCTATTATCCTCAATATTATCAATACAATTAAATAATACCAACAAATTATTTTTACAAATCACATCAACTACATACTTTTAACTAACTATCACTTCACATCATCCTTTTTTTATTTTTCATCAAATTAATTTTAATTATTTTATTTTAAATATTATTTTAATATAAACTCAAAATGCCACAAAGTAACTATATTAAATTTTTCAAAATTAATCATAGTTATTAAAAAAAATCTATTTTGAATGACTATATTTGTATCTAAGAACGCCCTTGATTTATTTTCCTTCATTCTTCATTATCGATCTCGATCCCTAATCTAAGCGCCCTGTAAAAGAGCTCATCTGAGAGAGAGAGAGAGACTGAGAGAGCCCTGTAATAGAGCGAGAGAGAGAGAGGAGCCTTGCCAANNNNGGTGATCCACGCTCCGGCCACTGGCGATCCATCCTTCAGTAATAGTTATTATCTGTCTATATTGTTCCTCTGAACTTCTCCGGTGATCCACGCTCCAGCCACTGGCGATCCATTCTTCAGTAATTGTTATTTATCTTTGTCTATATTGTTCCTCTCTGCCCCTTCTGTTCTTCTTTTATTTTCTTTCTTCTTCTCTCTTCCGTGATTGCTCCTTTTATTTTCCAGCTTTATTATTGCTTGCCCTTTATATTTTAAAGCTCTTTATATATTTGTTTAAATTATCAGTTCTTTCGATTATGCTACAAAAAGTCTTTCCTTTCCGGTTGCCGTTTAATATATGTTCATAATTCCTTTTCGGTTTCCCTTCAATTTTGTTTAGTAAGCTTTTTATTCGATTGCTATAGTTTTCAGCTCTTTCTTTTAATTTTAAAAAATGTTTTCTCTTCATGGCTGCCCTTTATTTTTTTTTTATTTTTTTTAACTCCTGTAATTTGTATCTTATTTTTCTTTTTGTATTTTGGAGTCTTGAGGATGTTGAACTTGTTTATTTGCCACATAGTGAAACTAATGTTGTACTTATGTAATTGCTGACACGTTTTACGAATACATATATGTTTAGTGTGATGGTATATATAAATAGTAGTTTAGTTGGTCTGCCAAAGCCTTCTGCCATTTTCCATATGACGGTTTTTTGTCTTGTCGCCATCCACAATCGGTAACATTGGTTGTGCGGGCCCAAACATATGAGTTGGAGCTTTGATCTCTGATTGTTTTTCATAGATCAACTTGGCTCGAGTGCTTGATGCTCAATCATTTTTATTGCAGAGGTTTGATTTTTCTGGTGGCGCAATATGGATTTTGTATCTAAGTACCAGGTAATTTGTTTTTCCATTTTTTTGGGGGTTGACTGTTTTTTCAGCTTCACTGTTTATTAGGGTTACCACATTTATCGTCGCTGGTCGCTGATTGGTTACTGTGAAAGTTGTTCACAATTCCAATTTTAGTGTACGGTTGATATTTGAGAGTTGAAAATGTCCTGTTAATACTGCTCTTGATCTTATTGATGTTTATCTTATCCATTTATTTTGGCTACTGATGTTACACTTTTTTGGTTTTAATGCTGCCATTAATTTGGATTGCTTTTGTTCCAGGGTGTTGTTGGACGTGTATTTGGAAATGAAAATTCGAATTCAAGTGAAGACAGGTAAAAGTTTTCATGGCACAATTGTTGCAATGCTTATTTTATATCCTTGTAAATTAGCTGAGGGTCTTTCTTATATCCTTTGTGTTGCCAATGAAAGACATTTGAGTGGAGTGCCAATGCTACATCTATCTTTATGTCTGACAATCATGGTTTACAGTCTAAATCAAAATAGTATTGGAGTTTCAAGTGCTGCCAAATTGGAATGGATATTGCTTTTTGATGATTATTGTTTTTCGGAGTCTTGTAAATGTTGTTAAGATGTGAGTTTCTCTCTCTCTCTCTCTCTCCCTCTCTCCATCTCTCTTCGCCTCCCCCCTCCCTTTCGTTGCCACAATCTAGCTTCTCTGATTGACATTTTAGCATATGACACTACTGATCTCAAGTTCGCGTTAATGTTAATGTTTTGCAAGAGGACTTTCAAAACCTTGATTTTGATTTATCATGTGTTGCACCTCATTAATTCCTGAAGTCGTAGCACCTAAAAAAGTTAGTTACTTGAAGAGCTGTTATATCGTGTATATCTTATGTAATAAGTGGTTACATGTCATTAATTTCAGAAGTAGCAGCTTCATGACAGGCCTATTTAGCTCATTTGTTTACCTTGTATATGTACATATATGCGCACAATACTT